TGAGGAGTAACGAGGGGGGAGGAGCTTACAGGTGGGCTGACGAGGGGGGACCGCTGGGGGGCTGTCCAACTTCGACATCATCTGGGGGGGAGAGAGAGTCAGTGTGGAGGACAGAGAGAAGTGGTAAAATATAGCCGATTGATCCGGCCATGCTGCGGCTCAGTCACGGCTCCAGTGTTACATCACATTCATCAGCAGTTTTGATGACATGGACTTTTTTGGCTAAAATCTGACAGGAGTTTGTTTATACACACACACACACACACACACACACACACACACACACACACACACAGACGAAAAAAAAAACACTGGCCGCAAGAAAAAGTAATGGCACCGTTTACAATTTCCTGGTTTTCTGCATAAATTGGTCATGAACTGTGACCTGATCTTCACCAAAGTCACAAACATCAACAAACACAATGTTTCTAAACAGATAAAACACAAACTGAGCTTCCTGTCCTTATTGAACACACCCATTAAATGTACACACTGGACAAAGTCACGGTTGCCGGCTTCTGATGTCACTAAAGGTCAGCTGGAGTCAGGCGTTAGCAAACCTGGAGTCCAGTCAATGAAACGAGAAGTACAGGATCACTCCAAAGGCACAAGGCAGAACGCCCAGGGGGGTTAAAAAATACATATAGTAACAGCTAAAGACTAAATAGTTAATTGGAGCTGGTTAACACCTCTGTTCATGGGTCAACCATATGCTAAATATTGAACAGGCGTGGTATCCATGGCAGAATGCCACGAAGGAAACCATCATTTTCCAAAAACTACTGAGAAAATGTCCTGTGGACAGATGAAACCAAGGTACAGCTGTCTGGGAAGAGCACACAGCGCTACGTATGGTGTATAAAGAGAGCCACATACCAACATGCTGACAGTGAAGTCTGGTGGAGGAGCATCATGATGTGGTGCTGCTCTGCTGGATCTGGACCTGGACCACTAGTCACAGTGGAGGGAAAATGAACTCCCCAGTTTACCCAGGTGTCCTACAGGATAATGTCAGGGTGGCTGTCGGCAAGCTAAAGCTCAGAACAAGCTGGGTGATGCAGCAGGACAATGACTCTAAACATCCAAGTAAATCTACTACAGAACGGCTTCGAAGACACAAAACCTGCCTATTGGAGCAGCCGGGTCAGCCCAGAGCTCAGCCCAACAGAGATGCTGTGGAACAACCTGAAGACATTCACACCAGACGTCTTGAGAATATGTCTGGAAGAACGGTCCAAAACTCCTCCTGAACGTGGAGGTCTGATCCACAGCTACAGAAAGCGCTGGCTGGAGGTCGTTGCTGCCAAAGTGGTTCAGCCGGTTATTAAAACACTGCTGCTGCGACTTTGCTCACATCACTGTGTATGTTTAATGTGTGTTCAATAAAGACATGAACAATCAGGACTGATTGTGTTTTACCAGCTTAGAAATATTGTGACAGGCTGGCGACCTGTCCAGGGTGGACCCCACCTCTCATCCAATGTCAGCTGGGAATAAGGAATAAGCGGTATAGATGATGGATGGAAATACTGTGTTTGTTGATATTTGTGATTTTGGTGAAGATCAGATCACATTTCATGACCAATTTATGCAGAAAACTGCAAAGAGTGCCGTGACGTTTTTTGTGACTACACAGCAGAGAATGAGAAAATCAACTGGCATGAACTTCACTGATGATTGACTATATCCACATTAGTGTTCACATCCAAGAGAGTGATGAGAATGTATTTCTGAGCATTTAAAAATCAATAAAAGATTTAAACAGCTACCTATTTAAAGAACCCATGGCTGCTCATTTTTCCCATTTCCAGCCATTTAATATTTAATCTCGGGTACCTCTAGATTATCTTGGCACCCCTCATAACTCCAAATAGTCTGTAATTATTTCAGAATGATAAAACCAGAGAACGTCTTCCTTAAAACAAGAGGACAGTTCGTGAACACGCACAACTCCTGCTGCTGGTGTTGTGTTGCAAGTGGAGAGCACAAGGAACAGTGACGGCATTAATTAATATGAATGTCTCCTCCATAGATAGGTAAACATCGGTATATGTACCAATGAAAAGAGATGTGTAACACTCTAAACAAAGTGGGTAACTGAGAAACCCCATATTTTAACTGGCATAATGCAGACATAGTAACTTCTCCAGCCTTACAACAATTCTCTCTAATGTTACAGAAACAAGGCATTAACAGGAACTTTAAACCCACCGTTAAGTCCCACTGAGTAGATGACACATTGCTCCCTTCCAAGTAGCTCCAAGGTTGATAAATCCAACCAGTGGTCGCTGCGTCTTCCCCAGATAAGTCATAAAACGAGCCATGGGCTCTTTAAATTAATGATATATAATGTGGGGCTGCTATATGGATTTGTTGAAATGATGAGACACGCAGCACTTGTATTTCTGTCGAAACTATGTTCTTATAGGCAGTTTTTCTTCTGAGACGTGCTTATAGCTGAGTTTACCAACAAGTTAAAACTTCTTCTGCCAGTTAATCACAGCGTGCATTGTTACATTTGATGTGTACCAGCTTGCACTGCAAAAAAATATATATTTACGATTCCTCTTTTTTTTATAATTCCTCATTGAAATGTTTTCCCAGCGCATTTTTGTTAGGTATTGGGGTTAGGGTTCCTAGTCCTGTTTGGATGAATGCACATCGCAGAAACACAAGAAAAACAGCTGTGTGTTAAACTTTAACGGAAATGGACAAACAATCTGTACACACGTATGCAAAACCAGCCACACTGTCGTGACAATTAAAGTGTTTTTTCTGGTAAACGAACATGGTTTGACGATTCTAATCAAGTCTTGACCTAATGAATATTGTTCTTTTTCTCTTCATTCTGGGCAGCAGTTTGCTAATTAGTGTCATCTGACCGTACACATCCATGAGTTGTAGTGTCACCATTGAAGTGGGTATTCCCCCCAACCCTGGGGGAAAGCAGTGAGCAGACTGCTGCTTGACAAACCGAAATGAGGAGAAGATGATGACAAACTAAAATGGGCTACCTTCTGTTGTAATGCACACTGGCTGACAAAAAATAAAATAAAAGTTTGACTAGAAGAGTCTCAGTCGACCGACTGGTCTCTCGACTAATGATTCCACTAGTCGTCTTTCAGGGGGTGGCCGTGCCGTAAGCTAATTACTACCCTTTGATGGAACCCTATATGTTATTTAGCACTTAGCATATAGCGCTTTAAAGCCACACTGTACGCAGAGGTATAGAAGCTGAGGATCATGGGTACTGTAGTATTCACAAACAGAAAGTGTACATAATGACTGGAGGTCAGAACATGAACCTGTGTTCTCAGGGACATTCAGGAAACATCAGAGAAACATGTCAAAGAGTGAAAGGAAGCAGGAAGCAGCAGCAGCACCTCACACTTCCTGTCAGGTACCTTTGAGGGGGAGGACTCAGCAGGAGCCGACTCTGGTCGTCTGCGAGGAGGAACAGGAGGAGGAACAGAAGCATCCTCTGAACCCCGACTGAAACTCACCATGGAGGAGACCGAGGATGACCCTGAAAAAGGAGGAAACACCGTCAGACCAACACACACACACACACATTTGTACTATCTTTGTGAGGACACTCTGGTACATAACGCACCCCTGAACCTGATTCTAGCCTGAACCCTAAGAGACTGAGCCCTCAAACAGCGCTTTGAAGTTGTGTTCTTGCAGTTTACAAATGTCCTCAGTTCCGTGGTCTAAAACTCAAGCTGGTCCTCACAAAGACAGCTATACAAGTGCACAAACAAACTTGGATTATGTCCACATGTTTACACACACAGGTCACATCGACACACTGATCAGTGAGCAGCAACAGTCTGTAGTCAGGGATGTAAAAACCATTTGAAATCCACTTTATTTGGCAGAACTGTTCTAAAGCAGGTAATGTTCAGTGCTAGATGTGCTGATTGACTGGTCTGTATTGTGGTCAGAGCTGTTCCTAATATTCTGACCTCCTGTGTGTGAAGAGCACCTGTAACTCAGGTTACATTTACACATCTCTGACAATTAAAACAAAAGAGATGCTGTGTTCAGGTGTTCCTAATAAAGTGACTTAATCAATAGTCACCCACATTAACAACCAATTATAGGTTAATCGTTTGAGATACCTTTCTTCATAGTAAAACTACTAACTAATGATGTGATCTATATTAAAACCTGAGTAAACTGGGAATATCCATATGAAGTAAACACCAACTTTTTTGCGTTATGAATGAGACAACAAAAGAATTGCCGAGCTTCAACTGCTGTTTGTCAATATTCAACGACAGACTAGAAAAATTCAATCCTGGTTCTAATTACGACAATACACATACCTCATGTCACATCTGTAGGTAGTAGAGCTCCACAGCTGGCGCTCTACAGGCGTCCCAGGGCGCAGAGAAGCTGTCTCTACTTTCTCAGAAAATCTGTCAGTATTTACTGCCACCACACCATCTCTCTCAAAGCAGGGCGATGTCGCTTATACCGCTCACTTTTGTGTCAATTCTATTGGAAGTATTTAGTACTAAAGTAACGAGCGTCCTGGATGTTGTGCTGTGTGGCACTCGTCTCCTAGGCTCAGATAGCAGCTATACCGGACAGCGGCCTGACAACAACTCAGAAGAAACTTAACACTGCAGTGTTCATCAACACAACTGCAACAGTTTGAGCACAGAAAGCCACACTGCTGCTTCTTTCTTCTTTAAATTATTGCACCTACTTGCCATTTTACAGTTGGTGAGGCCCAAACCCGGGTGGTCAGCAAATAGGTGTAACTCTCATCAACAGCAAGAGGCACCGCTGGTGGTGTAACCAGGTTACTACAGCATGTTTTCTGACAGTTACCACCACAGGCCTTCGTATTCATCACTGACAGTTAATATTAATCTTAATCAAACTATTAACCGCCACCACCAGTGTGTGCATGAATGGATGAGCGGGTGAATCAGTAAAGCGCTTTGTCCAGGCTAAGCTAGAACGGTGCTATGTAATGATTATCCTTATTATGTAAGTGCAGTCCATTTACCAGTTTAGTAACAGTGATTAATCGATAATTGATTTATGTCTGACACAGGTAAAAGTGACCACACCATGAAATAAAACTATGTTAAAACATCCTGCTGCAGCTGACTGATCACCTGACAGCTTCCATGGAGACAGACTGTCAACATGGAAACATGGCAGGATGTAGTACACAGGTGTTGAACAGATGAGTCTGATCAGTAATCAGTTTTGCTAATGATCTGATTAAACTGATCAGAAAATCAATCAGCTATGATGTCACTGACCCACATTAAACACATTCACATCCACAGAAACCTGATCCCAGATCTGGTTTCTGTATCTGCAGGTACTCAGATCAGCAGGGAAACAAAGACACAGGTGAGGCTGAGGACAGGTGTATGAAGTGAAGCTGATGTATGGAGAGTCAGGAGGATCATACTAACGTGGACCGTGAGGCAGAGACACTGCAGCAAAGATACTGTCACAGGCTGCAGAGAAAGAGAAGAAACACTGTGAGGAGGTGAAGAAACCCTGGGTACATGCCAGTTCCCTTAACTACTTCCACTTGCATCTTTTCATTATTAGCTCCACCCACAAAAGATGCAAGGTGAAACTGAGAGAGAGGAATTAAGGAAATGTTTTAAGAGACATGAGACATCTATTCCCTCCCATCCTTCATCTGAAGCATCCAATCACCAACAGGTTTTCAATAAAGGGGTGTGTCAGTCTAAATCAGACTTCTGTGAAGGATGCTGCTATGTATCCTCACTCATGTCTCCTCCAGCAGTCTCTTCGTTCCTCAGGGCAGGACCGAGGCCACAGTCGGCCGTCGGTGATCATCTGCTGTCAGTCAGTCTTGAGAGAAGCCAATTCATGCCTTCATGTCCAGCAGGCTGGACTACTGTAACTGTCTTTTGCCTTCCCAAAATGACTGTTAGACAACTTCAGCTCATTCAGACTCTGCTACCGGAGCGTCAATCAGAACCAGGAGGACTGAGCACATCACTCCTGTTTTTAAAGCCTGAAGGACACTGCACACAGGTTGTGTCGCACTGCTGCTCATCATGTGACCCTCATCACGACTCCCGTAACACACACCGGAAGCAGTGTAGATTCAGCGCAGGACCACTACAGTGGGTGAGTACTTCAGTATTTTATACTTCTGACATGCATCGACGCCAGAAAAACAGGACCATAGTGTATCCTAAAGTTTATAAATTACTCAGTGGCATCACCTTGAAGAATACAAACCCAGCAGGGTTCCGACATCCTTAGGAAGCAGTCAGCTGGAAGAACCTCGGGCCAGAACCAAACAGGTGAAGCTGCACACAGATGGAACCAGCTTCCCAATGACCTTACATGTGCCCCAACTCGGCTACTTTCAAGTCTCAGCTGAAAACTCTGCTGTTTCCCTCTGCCTTTGTTTGACTGCTGTACTTTCTGTACTGTAACAGCGTGATTTCTGCGGTCAATCTATCTAAGTAATGCCAATTACAAATTCGCTCCAACGTTTTTGGAGATGCAATGACCCACTAACAAGCCAGCTAGCTAGTGTTACTTAGCTGTAGCCACTGTGTTCATATTATTACATTCAGTAACCTCTGGGCTACGTGACAAGATGTCCTTCAAGATATCAGATCGGAACACCTTCCGGGTCAAGCAAGGTCAGAGTGCAAGCATAAGGGATAAGGGGAATTGGGATTCACCCCCTGTGAGGAAGAGAAGAACACACTGATAGAGAATTTGATCAGTCTGATTAGCTGTTTGATCAGCGACAAATTCAGATATTGAATATCTGTCAGACAGATGGAGTTAGTGCGGTCTGAACTTATAGAAGTGCCAGTAACACACACACACACACCAGTCTAAAGGTGTGAGCTCTGTGATTGGTGGGTGGGCAGGGTTAGTGTGAGCTCTGTGATTGGCTGGTGGGTGGGGTTAGTGTAAACTCTATGCTTAGTGGGTGGGAATGTCTTACTGGAGTGAAAGGGACTGCTGGGACCCTGTGGCGAGTCAAAGACGCTGCCTACGTCAGTGGAACTGGAGGCAGCGGAGGCGGGCGGCGGTGTCAGTGGGGTGCGGGGGGAGTTGGGGGCAGAGACAGCCCCTCCCTCAGTCTCGCTGTCGGGGATGCGGCTGTAGCTGATCTTCCTGGGCTCATTCTGCAGTGGCGTTGGGTGTCGCATGCTGCCAGGCCTCGCTGAGGTGGGACGGATCCCTGGAGACTTCAGAGGACAGGTGTACTTCTTCATCTGAACATGGGGGTGGGGGGATAAACATGCATTTTACTTACTGCTTAGGTGACACATGACTAACACAGTCTTCCATGGTTTTCTCATGTCACAATCACCAGTTAAGTCAGGAATGAAAATTTGTAGAGCAGAACCATCTTTACTGAGTTTTGCTCCTGGATATTCAACAAGGTTTTGATGGATATTTTAATAACAATTATCAGTTATCAGCTGAATGGCGCACCATATACCAGGCACTGTGTGAGTGTGTGCGATGTCACTTCAAGTTCAAGTCTGACTAATGACTTGTCGTAGGCATCCCTGTGCTAAATCAAATTTCTCCAATTATAGCTACAAGAAATTATATGTGTCTATAAAATGTCACGTTGTTGATCGATCCAGCATCTAAACCAATCAGCTCTCAGAACAGGTGAGAACCAGGCATTTCCCATCATGAGCTCTTGCAGTCTGTGGAGAGCAACTGCGGCACCTCACTCCAAAAACTGGCAGAATTGCTGCCTACATATGTGTAACATCAGAGCAAGCCAGGATCAAGTCAGAAGGAAAACTAACTGGCATGCCTTGTGCACCAATTGCCAATGATCAATACTGTGCAGATCTAGATCATCTCAAATGTGCCTGTTGTATGCAAGTACATGTTACGTACCACTTAATGGCAATTTCACCATTTCAATTCAGACATGTAGCCATTAGAATGTAGCCAGCTATTTGACTAGCTAGCTGCTAGATGACCTGACTAAAGTGACTGAGAACGTAGGTCTTCGATGTTCTAGGAGGTGTGGCCTGCTACATAGTATACTATTATTTTTAATGGAGGACAAAAAAATATTTTTAAAGTGTTTTATATAGAGTGTTGCTTATCCAGAGTCTTATTATGATTATCTTTAACAAATTTGTTTTTGATAATGTCAGTCTCAGAGCAGATGAAACCTCAGTGGTCTTTGGCACCCACTTGTGGGGGTGTGGGCCCCAGGTTAGAAACCATGGCTTTAATATTTTATTATATTATGATACAGTAGTCGTGGTGAACACCCTAACCCTAACCCTATTATGATACAGTAGTCGTGGTGAACATGATTTGTGGTAGCGACCTGTGAAGTTTCTCAGGTTCTGTTGTTATTCTATGTCACGCATACATGCTGATATGGAACTCGACTATTTGTGCATAACCATCAGACTATGGGTCTTCTACTGAAATGCAGTGTTACTGCGGTGACACTTACAAACCGAGGTAATGATCGGGCGTTTCGAGGTTCGATCTCCAGAGATTTGTTGAAGAGATGATCAGCGAAGTCCTTCTCCGACATGTCCCCCATTGGGTTCAGGCTCTCAAAGAACTTCTGCTCCACAAATCACAGAAAACAACAACATTTGACTCTGAGCTCTTGCACTTATCAGAGCAAACAGGAAGTGACATCATCATCATCATCATCATCATCAAACTGACCCTGATGTCGTTCTCCACCCTCAGACAGTATGGCTGGTTCTGGTATTGTTGGATCTCTCCGGTGATTTCAGCCACTTTCCGTCTCTTGCTGAAGTTGATCAGATCTTTACCATGTCTCCGCAGGAAGTCCGGGTTTCCCTCCTCAGTCTTCAGAATGTTGGTCAGGTAGATACCTGGGAGGCAAAGACAGGAGACTGGTTTTAACACATGCCAGTTATATTTAACCCTTTAAAAACTGGTGAGATGGGCCATACCAAAGAAGGGGACACAGGGGGGGTTGATGGAGCGCAGTTTGGCTAAATACTTCTTGTAGTGATCCTCACTGAGCTCATGAGCTTCCTCCAGGATTTTTCTCTGCCGACTTGGAATTTGCTGAAAACAAAAAGACCGATATTAATAAATCTAGGTGTTCAGAGACATTCCTGTGTTCTTTTGAGATATTTTATTTGAAATACTTTTAAGGCTGACCTGATGCATATGTAAACATTTTTGTAACTTTTCTTTAATGAAAAATTAAATTGTAATAAATATGAAATATTGTAATTTTACATTTTGCCTCACTCTCTCAGAAAACAAACTAGTCTTAAAATAAGAAAGTGCTCAAACTAAAAATGAAGTGCAGTATTTGTACTAAATGTAAACAGGTGCAACAGTAGGGCTGCACAATTATGGCAAAAATCTTAATCACAATATTGAGATAATTATCTAATATAATTACTCACTGACTGTGGAAACATCATTTATTGAACTTTATCTGAAGCTTGAAAGACAAAACAAAAAATCCTTTTAACAGAGATTTTTCTTGAAATATGACAAGTGAAAAACAAAGTATTTCATTTACCCAAAATGTGATTGACAGTTCAGTGATTAATTACTTATTACTCATTTTGTTTTTATAATCGTTGGAAGCCAAAAATCGTGATTGAAAACAACATTTTATTAATTCCCCAGCCCCATGCAATAGGTAATAGAAACATCAGTCTGTTACAACAGCCGTAACAGACATTCACTCATTGTCTACTACTCTGAGTTTTGGATCGTAGTTTTCTGTTCTCCAAGATGTTTCCGTAGGCTCCTCTGTGTGTTGTGTTTTTTTGCTTCCAATGCGCAAGTGAACACATCCAGGAGGACTTTGAGCACGAGATGCTATGCTTTCAGTGTAGACAGGGTGTGTGCAATCTCTTGACAGCTGGTGGTTCCAAATTCTTTTCATGGTTGTTCCTCCATGGCTTAATCAGGAGTCCGTGATCATGAATTTTGCTGCTCATGCTGCTCCCCCAACAATCACCACCCTTCCCTCCAGCCCCCCACCTCTAATGATCTGTGAAAAGGATGTGCGTGGCCTCTTTAAAAGACAAAAGATCAGAAAGGCTCCAGGCCCAGATGGCGTGACCCCCCTCCTGCTTGAAAGTGTGCGCTGATCAGCTGGCCCCCATCTTCACACTCATCTTCAACAGGTCACTGGAGCTGTGTGAAGTCCCCTCCTGCTTCAAACGCTCCACTATCATTCCAGTCCCCAAGAAACCCCCCATCAGTGGACTGAACAACTACAGACCTGTCGCCCTGACATCTGTAGTTATGAAGTCCTTTGAAAGACTGGTGTCGGCCCACCTGAAGGACATTGTAGACCCCCTGCTGGACCCCTACAGTTCGCCTACCGGGCAAACACGTCAGTGGACGATGCAGTGAACATGGCATTGCATTACATCATGCAACACCTCGACTCCCCAGGGACCTATGCACAGGCCCTCTTTGGGCGGCTGTGGCTCAGGAGGTAGAGCGGATCGTTTCCTAACTGGAGGATTAGCGGTTCAATTCCCAGCTTGTCCAGTCAACATGTCAAAGTGTCCTTGAGCAAGACACTGAACCCCCAGTTGCTCCTGGTGATGTCACCAGTGTGTGTATGTGTGACTGTTTGGGAGTGCGAATGGGTGAATGGCCGAGTAGTGTAAAAGCGCTTTGAGTGTGCTGTAAAGCGTACAAAAGCACTATACAAGTATAAGACCATTTACCATCTTCGTGGACTTCAGCTCAGCGTTCAACACCATCATCCCGGACA